TTGATTAGTGGGGCAACAAAGTTAATTTTGGTGGGAGAGAGAGAAAAGACGCGTAAAGTAGCCTAAGAATGAGAGTTTTATTCATCTTTTCTTAGACCATCTTTACTAGTATTTTACAAAATTTTAAAGTATGATAAGAAAAACCACCACGTTATTATCCTAATGTTCTCCATCCATCATTTCTTTCTCCAAAGCATATAATCGAGAATATGCGAGCCACAAGCTGAAAATGTGTTTGGGATAGAGTCCTATGGATTTCTGGTTTTGGCTAGAGGTGTTGCTACATTTGTAGCTCCAGAATCCGGCTTTCAAATTATTGTCCTTAATTCAATTAGCGTTGCTCTTAACTTGCACTTAGACGCAATTGCTTTATTTATGTTGCGCTACATAAGGACACTATAAAGGAAACGCGCGTGAATGTTCGATCACTATCCTGACTGGTTGTTTCGCGCGACCCATATTAGACTTTGCACTCTGCCCTCCGCAGCACTCTGCCCATCTAGAGAAGTGTAAAGAATCTTTCAGGATTGGAGGCATAAATTTGGGGTCCATCAGCACATCACACAAGCTTCATACGCTTCGAGAATATTACAATAAGAATACAATAAAAATGGAGGGTGAGCATTATTCTGTCTAGCAGTACCTTAAATATAACCTCTCACAATTAGAGAAATAACCAACCTTCTTTGTTTCCCCAGTTGATAGCCAAATTAGCAAATCATATGAATGCCTGTGCGCGCGTTACTCGTAGCCTAGGGTTTTTGTTTCAAACAAAATCAAATTACGAACGAATATTAGGGGAGTAACAAACCTGTTCGGATGGAGAAGGATAAAATTTGGAGGTTTGACCCCATGGCTGTAAAATTGTTTTATCCGTTATTTCACTGTGATCTAAGGACTAACTGCCTGTATAGGTTATTTCTCTTTTTGTCAAAAATTATGGAGGGGTGTTTTATTAGAGCATAGCGCGCTGCTGAGCACACAGTATTTGGTTTTTTCATAACTTTCTCCAACCCTATGAGTGATAATCAATGAACCCTAATGCTCTTCTTAATGTCCAGAACATAAAATCCTTTATTTATCCTAAACGCTTCCCACCACTAATTTCCAACACCCATAGAGTTAATTTCGATCCCAACTATCTACTACTTAGCTTTGGCCCCCTAGTGTGCCAACCCAATTCCCTCGTTTCAACTACTCATCCAACTCGCGCGTCTATTTTGCCATTAAAGTAAACGAGATTGTTTATTGCTCTTGCTTAAAATTTCTCAGCGAGACTATATAACCCCAAGTTTAGTTTTTTTCTATACGTTCCACCAAGCCGTGTGGAGCATGATGTCATAAATTAATTTATGTAAATTTAATTTGCCTTTTAGCAAATCCTTACGCCAGAAGATCTAAGAGGGCAGATCATATACAGAATTTGCGTATCCTACTGACCTAATATTGATCTCCATCCTTTCTCTCTTAAATTAAGGTAGTTAACTAAGTGACCAGTATAAAGAAGATATTAGTGATACGAGCATGAACCCCTTACTGGATTTAACATGGAAAACTTTAAAGGTATGTTCTCTTAAAATGCTAGAAATCCTCACGAAGATAACATAACTCTCTAATCCCACAATATTCTCATGAACGAAATCTAGAATCACTACCCCCCGCAAAATAGTGAACTAAAAATGTATAATGAATATCTTTTGACAATGTGGGAGGTACTAAGATATTGCCCTGAATGTGAGAACACCCATTGATTCTTAATTTAACCAGAAAAAATTGGAATTTTTTTCATAGATTTGTTTCGCGTTACCGGCCTCTTCTTCCCTCTAAAAATTTCCCTCCATTTTACATTATTCTCTACTAATATCTACAGAATATTAAGCGAAATAAACTTGATAAAAGGAAAGAGCAAACTAAAATAGCTTTACTGGATATGTGCTTCACTTCTGAACCTAATCTTTCTTTCTGTCATAACATTCGCTACAATTATGTATATAACAATTTTTAACATGGTGCCATTGAATTCTTGTGAACATATATATATCTTCTGTATCCATGTTGCTCAACCTCAACTTTTCCAAATACCCAACTAATAAATATTCACTTTTAATGAAAGAAAGTCCACACGTATCTAGCTTCCGTCTGAAGACATAAAAATAAATCAAGACTCCATCTTCAAACTAACTGTATCAAAATTATAACATATAAATCTACGGTATAATATTAGTATTTTTATTTTACAAGAATGTTCAATCCTCTCTATAACCTTTGAGTATATGGTTGCTATTTTTAAACGTGATTAAACCGCACATCTACAATCAAATATCTGATTAACATGAAAAGAAAAAAAAATACCTACAAAAAACAATTGACAGAGACCAATTTAAATTATTATATGGAAACAAAAAAAAAAGAGGAGACACCCAACCACGACCACACTGTGCCTTTTGATAGTTTGTTGAAAAGAAGTTCAGCCCTACCGATGGTTCTAGTATATACTTCAGTACCATGCGGTATGTATATTATGAGATAATATGACAGATATTTTGAGCATAGACTAGCCACCATATTTGAAAGACCCCCGTACTTGTAATTAAATCACATTTGGTAAGGTATTGGTGTGATCCAAATTGGACACAGTTAGAAAGCAACAACCGTGCCCTTGGTCGCCAACCAAAAAGGCGGTTCTGCGATTACCCTGTGCATTACCGCGATAGATTGTGGTCGAAGTATTAAGTCTGAAATGTGACGCCAAGTGTGAGATTGGTGATAGAAATTCACCAAAGCTGCTTCTTAAATCGTGGCAGAGTTCCACCTTGCCTGTTTTGAGATTGTCCCCTATCCATAGCGTTGAGATTAACATAACACAGCTAAATAACGTTGCTTTATATCTGTCTCCAGTCCTCATGGAGACTAGAGATGAGTGTGCCTCTGTTTATGTGATAAATTTTACGTGGGTTCTCTGTGGAGTGATCAGGCTTAACTTGATCACTCTTGCAGTATAATATATTAACAACTGAGTGGTGTGAGAACATATTGGAGGGACTTATATAGGTACCATGAATGGCGATTGGCCTATGTGCCTTTCCAGCTTACCGTGTGTTAATTTGGCGAAATATCAAAAGCGAATTGCAAACAACACAACTATGGGAGTCCTCCTCAAATAATCATAGGATTGACTTCATGAGTCCCATCTTTTTGTTTTCCCAGACCCGAGTCGCTATATGTGAGAACCCTGGTATCCTTCTGTGCCTATGGTGTTGTAAATTTGAAAATCATCCTAAAGAAATTTTCCAAAATGTGTTAATATTAGAAGTATCAAAATCCCACCTCGAAGATACATTGCTCCATTTTTTCCTTCAGCCATTAAGTGTATATTCGTGATTAGAATACATATTTCTGTGGGTACAAAGTAAAGATACATAATACTTCAATTAGACAGAGAAATAATAATATGGGTGAGGAGTCCATTTGTAAGTGCCCAACCATATTGAAGTTTTGGCAGTCGACTGTGCCTACGTATTGATATGTTGGCCTGTCCCAGGTATACTCTCTCTTGTATTCTTACTAGACAATTTACTTTTTTGTTCCGAAAAATAAGGGGACTGGTCTATAGTATAGAATAAATTTAATTTGTCGCTCGATTGTATAACTATCATGAAATACCAAATTAGTTGAGTGATATGGAGAATTCTATCTTTGGTATACAAGACATTAATATAGGAAAGAGTGAGTCCAGCTGGCTCCCATTTGTAGTCTCTATGACAAGAGTGGGTCAAATAGTAAAGACGACTTGAAAATCTTCATGGCCTATTGAAAGTATGATTATCTAGTTATTTTTCACGGGTTCTCTCTATTCTGGCGGTGTGCACGGACACAGCTTTTGCACTCAGTTCGACATGAACCACCTTAAGTTACCATCTACAGAATTTGCTATCAAACAAAGTGTATACAGGACGAATTTTTTATGTGTTAGTCTCTCTCCCTCTCTCCTCTTTTTGTTTTATTTCCCGTGACAAGTGCTCTTCTTCGCCCACGCGACTAAATGTATTATGCGTCATTGGATAATCTTAATGACCCATGATCCCAATTAATAAGGAAATGCTTTTCTAGTCTATTCTACTTATAGTATAGATATTTTCCATTCGTAAACATCATCTTCGCGCGTAAAATAGATGGGGAAGGTCAAATATCTGTTTTTTATGTTACTCTACCCCATGGCTCCTATAAGTTCTAAGGTAATAATGGCTGCTTCTCAATTATCATTCACAATCCATTAGGTCTATGGAGCTTAAAAGGTCGCAGAAAACCATTAGGTAATTATTATGCCTTCTAAAAGTATATTAATCATCAATGGTTTCATGGCAACCCTTTGTTAGTTGAGATTTTTATATCCTTCTTAATGTTGCAAGAACATTCAAACCAAGGCGAACTCCATATCATACATAAAAGTTAAATAATAAGCCTTCTATCTCCTGCCACTTCTTGGCAGTGAAGTAGTGGATATGAAAGATATTGGACGAGTGTTGCACTCCCTTCATGGATTCGCTCATTGAATCTTTTTTTAGAACATCCAGTGATTTCCTCTTGTAGTGCTCGTACACTGCTAAATTATCTCGGTCATAAAGCCCAGCCAACCCACTTTCGATTTTTAAATCCATGAACTTTTTTTTGAGATGTTCCTCAGAGTTAGTCTGTGTATTTGACCATCTAGGAAAAAGTTTTCACTAAAAAGTATAGTTTGACAAAACTTTTTCTTCATAGAATGATGCAGGTAAAATATACCAAGTTTAAAATTGCTGGTATTCTTACCTAACATACTAGCGCAGGGTACCAAGGATAATGAAAGAATTCCAGTTGAAATTTTAGAGAACGGTCTTGCCAAATGTCTGAGTCCGATACGCAATATGAATGTAGAGATTAAAAATAATTTCAACTCCTACAGTAAATCGTGGGCCCAGAGTAAAAAAAAAAAAAAAAAAAAAATGGAAGGTGACTTTCAACTAATATAATTAAGAACATTCTTTGTTCCAGTTGATAGCAATTAGCAAATCATATGAATTGCTTCTTTTGCCTAGGGTTTTGTTAAAAATAATAGTGATTTACACTTTCAGAGAAGAATATGGAGTTCATGGCTGTATTGTTTTATCCAGTTATTTCACTTGCTAGTATAGCCTGTATAGGTTATTTTGTCAAAAATAGGTTTTGACTGTGGCTGTTTTTACTTTTCTCACATTGATTTGCTAGTCGATATTATCAGTCATTAATCACTTGCAAATTCATTAGCTTTGCCTTGTGCATTCTGTTTATTCTCTCTTTTTTGATTAAAGTAAGGATGTTATTGTGCTTCATTTCTGATTTTAGTTTTTAGTTCCGTGGGAAGTAATTAGATTATTTGCTTTTAGTCCTACGCAGAGCATTGGGTTGCTATCATACACTTTCTTGAGGAGTACAGGCAAAGAAGATATTGTGGTGCCTATGGTAAAAACTTTAAGTTGTTATGTATTAGAATACTTTATCCATTATCTTCTCCATATTATATCTTTTGAAAAAAATGTGGGAGGTACATAGAATCAACCCTGAATGTGGAGAACACATTGCTTTTCCATTTTTCTAGTTTTCTTCCGCTTCTCAATTTTCCTACTTTCTATAATTCTAATTGCAAACTGAAAAAGGGAAATATGTTTGGTTGTCTTATTTTCTGATTTCCTATTTTACATTTAGCATTTTGATATTTTTTTTCTACACCTTTTTTATGAAAGAAGCATTATGTTGTTGAAAATAATAAGTAAGTATCAAAATTTAAATATATTGATAGTTTTACAGTGTAACCACTTTGAGTATATGGTTGTATTTTAAACCTGATAACCACAATTACAATCATTATAAAGAAAATCTTAACTTGGCATTTGGAAATCCTCATGCTTAGTTTGAAGCCTCTCATTTTTCTTTTATTGTTCTTGACTGCACAATGCCGTATGGATTATATGATGCACCTAAGCTAGGCCTTGGTCCACAAGCTTCCACCTGTTTGCGAATAGATTTCTGTTTCATGCATCTGGATTGTGAATCATGTCTTTTCCTGCTGTTAAATTCCTATTGTTCTCGTATAGGCTTTATGCACTTACAGTATTTGCTGTTTTGTGAATGTGTCTGTAAAGCTTGACTACGAAAAAAAAGGTAGACAATGGAACAAGATGATGCGATTCTCTAGTTCTGATTGGAATATAAATGCAGAAACAATAGTTCAATGGTCCCCTTTTTCCAGCGAGGCAGACCTTCTTCGTCAGGTGATTTTCTATTTTCAAAGTGTAAATAAAGATACTGAGATAACATGCTCATTTTTTCTTAGCATTAGTGTATATTGTGTTAGATACATAATTTCTGTGGGTAAAGTAAGATAATATACTTCAATTAGAAAGAGAAATAATAATATGGGTGAGGAGCATTGTAAGTCCAACAAATTGAAGTTTGGCAGGTGGCCTAGTTGTTGCATCTATGCTCTTAATTTTTTCGAAAGGGGACTGGTCTATGTATTATGTCGTGTTTCTTCTGAACTGTTGAGGTATGGGATTCTTAGCTATAGAGGCCCCTAGCACTAGATGGGACATAAGCACTTGAATTTGCTTATATGTACTAGTATTTCACTCATGGGTGCACACACACTATTGTGTCCGCAGACATGTACACACTACAGATTTGCTATATGTCGAATTTTTCCCTTTTTATCGCAATGTTTTTTGAGAATTATAGCTGAACAACCAACAATTAATGTGTTTTTAGTTTTCTTGTTTCTGACCATTTCCTGTGGAGCATCTTTGTTATTACCGATTGTGTGATCATATTTTTCTTTAAATATTAACATATGGTTCTGTACTGTTAGTTTAATCTCATGTCAGATCACGGGACTCAAATAATAATATACAATCTATGGGAGGATGATGAAGGATTACTGGAGCTTGATTTTGACACTGATCCTCTTGTATGCTATCAATATCTGTCATCCTTGTTTATATTTTTCTCTTTTGTGACCAGTGATTTCAAATAGGATTTTTTGTGAGGGTAATTTTATGTGGTTACATCTGGCAGGATATTCAGCTTAGAGGTGTCAATCGAGATGAGAAGAATATACAAATGGCAAGGGAGTTTCCAAACTCGAGGCACTTCCTCACTTATAGACATTCATTAAGGGTAGCTAATCTCTTTACACGATTTTCAATTTTTTTTAGCATGACTATTTTGTATTATTCAAATGAACAAATTGAAGAATTTTTTCCTGTTCTATTTTTTGTTGCCGTCTTATCATATTGGTGTCCTTCAGTCATTATTTTATTTTAGCATAATTTTCCTAGTTTCATCTGGGGTGTTAATGTAATAGGAAAACCAACATAAGTGGTATTGGCTCTTCTGCATTGTGCTTTCAGTTGTAATTCTTTGGATTGACCTCAAATTATTATGTTCTATCGGAAGTAGGGTTTAAGATAAACCCCCCAAGGACTGATGTTTTGTTCTCTATATATTCATCTTTTACATTATTCAGGTGGAGCTGTGGTTTGTAAGAGGTGAAATTTTGAACTATTTCCTGAGAAGAAAATTCTGAGGCTGAATGCATGAAATACTGATACAGTGAATTTTGATGTCTAAATTACCTATATTACTAATAAGAATGAAAACAGTACTATTCAATCTAAGATCCTTCCACTGATTTTGAATTGAGTTTCCAATTTTTATTGGGGCCATTGCCTATGACTTGTGTAACTTGTACTCAAGTAAATCCAAATGGGCGATACGTTACACTTGGAATTCTTCAAACGAAGGAGCTCTTATGCATTATTAGGTGCCTTCCTTAGTGATGTTGGATTCAATCTTTTCTATGACTTATTGGTAATTGTGGTGCTCCATGTCATCCTCCAGAGTTATGCCTCAATTCTCTACTTGAGACTTCCTCCTGGCTTTCGAATCATTCTTCGTGGAAAAGATGTTGATCACCACAATATAGTGAACGATATGATGCTGTCTCAGGAGATAACTTATCGGCCACAACATGGTGCTGAAGGGGTCCCAAAAGACTCAAATGTAATAATATGTGTTCATTCTTTTCTAAGATATTATTTCTTTGCTTTTCTTAATTTCAATGCTTTTTGCTTGCAATTGTTGAAAACAGATGGCGGCTATTGTAACTATTGGCTTTGTGAAGGATGCAAAATATCATGTTGATGTTCAAGGCTTCAATGTTTATCATAAAAATCGACTAATCAAGGTTTGTTCTGTTTTAAAATATGGCTAATGCCTCCATAGAGTTGCAGCATAACTTATTCCTGAAATATCATCAACAATAAGGTCCAATTTATCTGTATCTTCAAGTTGCTCATTATTGCTGCTGTTGATAACGATTAAATTGTGTACTATTGTTCTTGGACTAAGCACTGCTTTTTTTCAGCCTTTTTGGAGGCTTTGGAATGCAACTGGAAGTGATGGCCGAGGAGTTATAGGTATGCTATATATTTGAGGTTTCCTTGGTATCTACACTACTTTCGGTTAAGTATGTGAGGGCCTTTTAATCGTTTCTTGACAGGTGTACTAGAAGCTAATTTTGTTGAACCAGCTCATGATAAACAAGGATTTGAACGTACAACAGTTCTTGCAAGACTTGAGGCTCGACTTGTACAAATGCAGAAGACTTATTGGTTTGTTTCTTGTTTAACTATTATCATTGCTCTTTTGGAATGTATTAAATTCTTTCTGATTTTTATCCATGACTAATTATACTGCATTGCTTTAGGTCCACTTTATGTCACAAAATTGGCTATGCTCCTCGGCGAAATAAGAAACTCATAAATGAGAGTGCAGGTGGAGGTATGTTGTGGGACCTTCACTGCTTTTAATTGCTTGGTACCAATTGCATTGTTGTGTTACAGTTGCTTGGTACCAATTGCATTGTTGTGTTACAGTTGGTTGGTGGTTATGAATGCTTGATGGAAAGTTGCTAGTAATCTTGCATAAAATTGTCTTTGTTCTGTAGAAACTTCTCCTGATAATGGTCCAGACATACATTCTCATTCTAAGTATACTACCTTGAGTGGGAAGGGATCCTCGCATTCAGACAAATTCTTTTCTCATGTAGCTCAGAAAGGAGGCAAGAGATTGGAGACATTTGCAAGAAATGGGGACAGGAACGGTCATGTCTCTAGTAAAGGAACAGACACACGAAAGACGCCGTCCAAATCTGGAAGAAAAGCAAGGTCTTCTGTACCATCATCACCTTCCTTAGAAGATGTTTCTGATGATGATGTGAATATTCACCTTCCGACAAGGAAGGATGGGATCTATACAACTGGGTCATCTTCATGCTTGAAAGATACCACTCAGCAAGCTGTCACACAGTCCAAGTCTAAGGTTCCATATCCCGAAATATAATCTCTATATTCTGTTTTTTTTTTGGGTTAGAAAATTATGCTATTTTACTTGCCCCATCTATTAATATGGATCCTTTAAGCTTGAAAAGATGTGTAGTATTATTGGCAGATTACATTATTGCTAAGTTTCATGGTGAGAAACATGTATCAATATAGCCACTTTGGAGCCTCGACTTTAGGATTACCTGAGTGGTATTCTCCCAGAATCAAACCTCAAATGACAATTTCCACGGCCAGTACGATAGGCAAGATGATTTATGTCGATTTCACACTTGCTAGTTGTTAAACAACATAAGCAGCTGAACAGGGTTTGAAGTATCAGTATTTATTTTTTCTTTATAATGCAAAGGCTTTAGCATGCTACCCCCTTTTAAGAGTTAGATTTGATGTAATTCTAGTTAAAAGTTTATTTAAATCTTTAATGTGTTAATGTTAAATATTGGATGAAATTTATCATTTGTTGAGATTTGGATGAAACTATCTTCAATGGACTGAATCATATGGATTGATCACCTGTTGATAAAAAATCAATAAGATTGTTTTGTCATCCTTGTGTCGGTGTGTGTCACCATTCATTTATGTAACATTGTTACAGTTGGTCTTTTTATGATGTTAATAGTTATAGTTTGATTTACAGAATGGTACTGTGGATCACAGTAAGCATGCCCTTTCAGAATCTGATATCTGTACCATTGATCAGTTGAAGCAAGAAAATCGTAAGCTGAAGGAAAGGTTGTTACTTAAATTTGCTTCTTTAATTCTAGTGTTGTGCTTCATTTTTCACCTTTTAACTTCGTTCTTGTCCGTTCTTTAGATTAGAGAAAAGGGAACAAAGGTTTCAAAGTGAGCAGATTCATGGTTTGCAGTGTGAGAAGTGTAAATCAATTGAGACAAAGGTTTGTGAATTTATCATCTTATATTAATTACTGTGCTGGAGGATGATCTGGGGAAACCAGAATCCAAGTGATCAATGCATCTGTCTGTGCATGTGTTATTTGTGCTATGTGAAATGTGACTCCTTAATTTTAGCAGCAATTGACATATTTGACTGTAACTTTGGATTTCATCTCATCCCGAATCCCCATCCCAAAATTAAATAATGAAATGGAGTTTTTGTAGTAATGGTGGGATATTTCTGTCAATGGGACAAAGGTATGCAAGACGGATACATAGTATTGATTAGGAAAAGTTATATAAGTTCATTTCAGTTGAAGAAAAAATACAAGAAAGCAAAGAAAAATAAGCAAAGCAAGTTGGTAGTTCTTCAGCTGTTTGCTTTTTTTTTTTTTTTTCTTGCTCTTTCAAATGATTTTAACCGCTGAAATCTCTGTTTTCTCTGTTACAGTTGCAGGAAGCGCAGCAAAAAATTGAGGAGTTGAACAAGGAACAAGAAAGTCTTATAGATATTTTTTCAGAGGAGAGGGACCGTTGCGACAAGGAAGAGGAAATTTTGCGGAAAAAGTTGAAGGTACTTGTCCTCTTTCCGAATTTTCGATTTCTAACTTTTTTAACCTGGATACTGCTTATCATGAGTTTCTTTTTCTTGCAGGATGCATCTAATACCATCCAAGAGTTGCTTGACAAGGTAAGGCTGTTGGAAAAGATGAAATCTCCAAGCAACAGAGCTGTCCGATGAGTGCATAATAAAATTCACATGACTTACACTTCATTTGTCCTGGAGAGCTGTACAGAATTTGTTTTCCTCCCTTTTTTACGCTCCTGACGGAATATATCTTTTGGTGCTGAACATTTCTGAGAGTCTTAGAATTGTTCATTTGTTTGTTCTCTAGCTCTGGGTTCCTGCTTTCTCTCCCTGTAAGTTGGTGCCAAATAGTTTCTGCCGGGTCAAATATTGAATTGCATTCACCTGTAGAGCTGCCAAATTTTGTCTTAGTGGCATCTCTAATGTTTAGATCTAATTGTTAGCCGGCTAATGGGTGGGAGGAATATATATATTAACTACACTCCTAATATGTAAATTTATCTGTTGGCGGCTCTTGAATTGCAGTGTGGCATCATCACCACAATTTTGTATATGATACTGCATATTAGATTGATTAGTTTCATAATTCTAATGCATGATGCATTTGCCTTGGATATCCTATCAGAAAAGTGACTGACTGGGCGTCTTCGAAAGCGATTTGGTTACTTTGTTTTTTGAAATTCCATTAAAAGCATTATGCTGTAAATGACGATTGAAGACCATTAAAAAGGTCTATTTGACCTTTTTTTTGGGATTAATTTACTTTCATTTTCATTACCTGATCAAATTTACTTTCTTTCTAACTTTATCATGGGGAATAAAGTTAAGAGAAGACGGTAAAGAGCTTGCGTTCACAAGTTTGTTATTTTTCTAGTTAAGCCCAAGTAAATTGGTAGGGATAAAGTGAGTAACCCATTTAGGCAATTACGGTTTACAACTCTATATAGATGAAGATGTATGGTGCCTATACGCACTTCCAAGAGTTATAATATTTATGATAAAAAAAAAAAATGTAATATCGACCCTTATATTTAAGCAAGCTTCGATTTTACATTTAATTAAAAAAATCTCTACTTTTTTTTAATTAAAAGTTTCATCATGTTAAGTTAAAAAATAGAAGAAAAGGAGCGCCAAAAGTTATCAATCTTATATAATCCGCGCAAAGATCTCGTGGCACCTTTAGTTTTTGTTTTCCTTTCAATTTATAAAATTATATATACGCCAAAAAGTTATCATCTTATAATATCCGGCGCAAAAAGATCTCGTGGCCACCTTTAGTTTTTTTGTTTTCCTTTCAATTATATAAATTTATATAATATATATATAATATATATATAATATATATATATAAATATATATATATATTGTTTTTGTTTTAATTTTACAAAAATTATTATTTTAATAAATCAATTTTTTATGTTATATATAAATGTGAAAATATGGAAAATAATATGATTGCCGGTATCATCTTAATGAAATTTAGAATATCATAAAATAGCTTTAGTCGTAGCTAATTCGAAAATTATATTTTTATATCAACGAGTGTTTGGATAATTGATTTGATACTCTTTTCTCTTAAGTGAGGTTGAAGGTTTGATCCTTTTGAATGAAATAAATATTTGCTAGGAACATTTTATCATTTCTTGGACTGATCTGGTGGGAGCATGATTTAGTTCTAACCCAGTGGGCTTGGAATACTTGTGGTTAAGACAAAACAAAAAAAAAAAATTTTATTATTTGATTGAACATAATTTTTAAATTTTATTTTTTAAATAAATAAATATATATAATAAAAAAGAAAAAAGTATGCTCTTTTTTTTTTTTTTTTTTTAAGGAAATTTGTGAATTTATTTGGAGAAGACGTAACGTTTTTCTTTTATTGTAATCTTTTTTTTTATTACTTAATTTAATTTTTATTTATTTATTTATTTCCAATTTTAGCAACAATAGAGATCAAATACTTGAATAACTCATTAACTTATCAATATTAGATCTTAGCTTAATTTGGAGTTGGTGCTTTTTTCATTTATTGACTTAAGCCTTTTTTTTTTTTTTTTGTCCATCTAAAAAAGTCAAATTTATTTTTTTTTTTTTTTTTGTCCATCAAAATCAAATTTAATTAAATTATAGCATTTTCATAGTTATTTTTGAAATTGAAATTGATAATCTTTTTAATATAATTTATTTATTGTTATAAGTTGAGTTTTATTCTCAATAAAAATTTGTGATTTATTTTCTTTTTTGTTATTGAATTAATTTGTAATCACTATCACTTTAATTTAGTAAGATATTTATATTTTCATTAGAATAAATAGATGGCCTCCTGATTAAACATTTTTAATTTTTTAATATTTTTTCTTTTGTATCCTAAATACATATAATTTGAAACAAAATAGTGTTTATGAAATTGAAAAAAAATAGAACTTTATATTTCTATTTTGGGTCATTTTTTGAGTTTCAAGCGTTTGTGTGTATGTTCATATATTTATTTCTCTAATGCACTGGATAAGTAATACTATTAATGTAGTCAAAATGATTATCATTATTAATTAAGATCATCTTTTCATTTTTTTTCTTTTATCTGCCGGGAAAAAAAATATTATTATTCATTATTTGTATACAAATATTGATTTGGGATCAATGATAATGATTAGAAATTGAGTGATCACTTGATTTTTTTTTAGCACTATTAGAGTTTTAAAAATCTATATTATGGACTGAATAATTATGTATAAGGATTAGATTAAACTTTATTTTGAAAACACTTCATTATATAAAAATAGAATAACGTACATAAGAAATAACATTGCAAGTAGCTTATATGTCAAAATTTATACAAATTAACCAATTGTATTTATGGTAATCTAAACAAAAACTTATGCTTTAATATTATATAGATAAAAAATTAAAAGAGTATAAAAAATAAAAGTATAACGAGCATTATCAACGTGCAACGCACGCCATAAAAAAAGACTGGTTTCATATAAAAGCACATTTTTAAATTTATTATTTTTTTTAGGAAAATTTTTAAATTTATTGTTAGTGTAAAAAAAAAAAAAGTGAAATGCGATTACATTTTTTTTATGAAGAGGACAAGGCTAATACAATAAGACTTAATTAATGTATTTTGGTGGAAAAAAAAAAAAAAAAGACTTCCGTCCTCAACACTGAACACCCCATTCAAAGAATTTCAAATTAAAAAAAAATGAAAAATACAACTTGTTAATTGTTATAATTGGTAACCATTTAACTTTTTTGCTTTTAATTTAAGTACAATGCCTTTTACGGTATCTTATCTTATATTAATTTGATTTAGTTTGTTGTTGAAACTGTGCATTAATAATGAAATTCTCATATTGAATATTGTCTCCATTTCAAATATTTGTTATATTCTCATATTGATTTAATATATTTTTAAACATTTGTCATATTTATTAATTTAATAAAAAATAAATTAATTCTTTTATTTTTTAAATAAGATAAATTGAATGATTTTTTTAAAAATATAAGATATTGTAGGCATTGGACGAGTAAGCAGCTACTTGGTACCGATAATCACTTGTTTCCTTCTATGTTATGTGGTCACTAGTTTTAGTTACTCTTACTAGTTATTACTGCTGCTACACTGCGGATCCCGCTTTTAGGTTTGTTTATTTAAAGATTTTCTTTTAAAACCATAATACACGTAACTCTACCCCTGTTCCCAAACAAACACCTTAACTTTGATTGAAAGCTTCGAGACCAAAAAGCCAATAAACCCGGTTGTCATAATTACCCCTTCAATTATTACTAATCCTCATTCTTCAATTTTCATTAATGCGCGTGGACATGATTCTCCTGAATATTATTAGATTCTTAAATATACCCACACGTCCCCTAATCACCGTAACCATCATAATCTCCCTCTGTCACACGGCCACGTGCACTTACCAATGGTCAATTCATCCATTTTTAACACTGCCACGTGCGCCCGTAACCATGGTTAATCAAATTCCTAATGTATCCCATCTCGCTATAAATACAGTTCCTTCTTGGTCTCCACCTCAAGGAACGGGACAAAAACACAAAACCCTAATCTACTCTTCCCCCCCCCCCCCCCCCAAAAACCACAAAACCCTAATCTTACTCTTCCCCCCCCCCCTTCTCCCCCCCCTTCCTTTCTCTCTACCGTTCCTATAAAGCCAAAAACTCAGATTTTCTCCCTTTAAAACGCACGCGTTTCGGTGTTGATTGCTCTTTCTCTTGCCCTTGCGGTCCATCCAATCCATTTGCAGAGGTGAACGAAACTCTCTCGTACTCGTCCTTGCATAAATACGAACTGATGTATAATTGTATGGTTTGAACTCCTGTATACAGCTCTTTGAACGGATATTTAATGCGTTTGATCGGCGACCAACTTTTAGGATTCTTGTGTTTTTTGTCATTTCTGGCTTTGCCGATCCTCTGCCATTTTTGTCTCTTAAGCTTCCTTTTTCTCTCTCTCTTCTCTCTGTCTCTGTTGTTTTGGTACGGTACTCTTTGCTTTGTCGACACTGTTCTCGCGCAGTAAATTCTGCTGCTGCAATTGCTGCCGGTGCGATTTTTTTTTTTTCCAAATTTTCCTGTTTCCAAAATTTTCCCGGAAAATACACAGTTTCCTTTTCTGTCAGAAAAAATACCTTTCCCTTCCTTCAATAACATCCTCTTTTAACATCATCGCTTCGTTTCGAGAGAGAACTAGTATTTTTTATTTTAATTTCTAAGTCTTAAAAAAATCCTCTAATGATAAAAATAAGCATTACATGAACATTAATATTAACTGTGCAGTGTTCACTGTTCAGTATTTGCTTTTTCCGTGTTTTTGCCTTTTTTATGCTAACCAAATTGCTTAATACTGGTACAAATCGCCGTCGTTTCTAGGTCATTTTAAGCTAAAATTTAGCTCGTGAGTCCTAGGGGTTTATAGCCACTTTTGAAGTCAAATCTGAACCGCTGGTACTCTAATCTGACGGTTGGTATATCTGAATTCTTTTTAACTTTTTGATGTGATATGATGACCACGCATATTTAGATGCAAAACTCGTTCTCTTATGCAGATTTCAGTATCTGAGAGAGAGACGCTTCGTTTCCAGTGACGCATCATGTCCATGGTGGTTTAGTGCTCGGAGTCCGACTCGCTGTTTTACCGAGTTCTCGATCCAAACTATTGATCTAGTTGACTTCTGTTTCTCTTCTGTTTTGGGAGAATCGAAAAGTTCTTTGGTTTAAAAGTAAGTGATACATTTTCGAAGATGAGAGACTTCTCAAAGAACAGATTAGCCGTCGTTTTGCTTCTATTCCTCTTCACAGTGCTAACATTCATGCCTCCTTTTTTTACAGGTGCGTATGTCGCAAAATATTAATTACTATCTCCCTTATCATTGATAATTATTCCATGGATCTAAGATATTCCTTGTATTTGTTTTTCTATTATTTTGTCGGTTTTCGTTTTTTTTTTAAATGGATGAGGGACCTCTCTTTCAACTAGATGGGGCCTCCATTTTTTTTTCTTCGATTCCTTTGTTTTTTCCTGTTCTCTTGTCGTCTGTATTAGTAGTGATGGATTATTTGTTTTCTCTCGAGCTTTTATCTAATTCTTCCTTCCTTTCATGGGTCTTCTGGCTTCCTAGGTGGATTCATGGGATCTAGCCATCCAATCTCCAAGGGAACGAGTTATACGCTATCTGCTCCACATCGAAAGCTGCTTAGCCGCTGTAAGATGATTCCGATTTTCCTATTTGCTTTGCGTTTTCTGTTTTTGATTTTTAAACGAAGAGCGAACGAAAGAATATTTTATTAATGACGGGAAATATGGATTTTGCAACAATTATTTTCTTGGCTGCGTTAGGAGAGTCCGGAAATGATCAGTTTTTCCTTGCGCGTTTGCTCGATGTGTGTTAGTTAGCAGCGTCCATGGCAAATTTCCAGCTGTGCGTACGATAAGAGTGTCAGAGGTGCACGTCTGTTTTATTCTCGTTATGATGGAAACTAACTTGCGCCGCTGGCTCTAAGGCACATCAAACTTAACTATAGAGAGTATCTTTTCGATGGGATCCTCATGTCCCATCAGGGTTCTTTCAACCTTTCTAGTACTTTTTCATTTGAAAGCCCTTAGTCAGCTCCTAACCGGTGCGCGTATTTTCCAGGGCGCATGTTAGCAACTTTCACAATGCAAACTGCTAGTTGTCTGTTTGGCAATGTGCCTCTGGATAGTTAACTATTTTGATGTTTACATACATATTAATTAATACAAAGAAAAGCGATTTTTTAATGTAGATTGAATTTTCATTTTCAAAAGAAGGTGAAGATCGAAAAGCGTAATATGGCACATACATGGAAATACGTGGAAAGGAAAAGGCTAAATTTGGAAATAATGTTCCTTGCATGTCTGAGTTAATTTTGTCTGTTTCTTTTAACCGTATAATTCCTGTGAACCACCTCCAAAAAAGTATATTTTGTCTGCTGACGCTTCCCTTATTGGTGGGTTGGATGGGTGTGTTCACGTTATGTTAATGACGTGCCAAGTGTGCCACTTTTTTGAAAAGCACAGGTTATCATTGTCAAGAATTTATTGTAAAGGTCCCTTTTCTTGTTTGTTTCTGCTTTGCACAGCATTAGCAATGGAGGAACCTAATAGAATATGGGGAGAGAAGTGTACTAAGGCCGATATTGTTATAAATCAAGGACCCACAGCTCCACTTCCAAGCGGCATACCTACCTACACTGTTGAGATCATGAACGTGTGTGTCACCGGCTGTGATATTTCTGGGATTCACCTTACATGTGGCTGGTTCAGTTCTGCTCGCCTCATCAACCCGAAGATCTTCAAGCGCCTTCGCTACAATGACTGCCTTGTTAATGATGGCAAGCCTTTGGTCAATGGTGGTACACTCTCCTTCGAGTACGCCAATACTTTTCATTACCCACTTTCAGTCTCTTCAGTAATCTGTTCCTGAACAATTAAGGCAAAAAATTTACTAAGACAAGCAAACATTGGACAGAGATATAGCAGCCATTGGATTCCCCCTTTCTCTCTTTATGTCTTGGATGTATTTTGTGGGGATATGGGAAGGTCCATTTGAGACAATGTAGGTCTTTGATCTCTGCAAGCTGAGATGAGAGCCGGCAGAAAAAAGACTTGAAACTTCCTTTGTGATGACCCTCTGTACATAGTCTATATGATAGTTAATACGTGAGCGGATGGGAAAATGATTACAGGATTTTTTTTTTCTTTTGTGGTTTCAGTTCTGTTGATGAGAATTAGTGTAGGGGAAAATGATTTGGTTGTCTTGATTATGCCTTGGGACATAATGTCATTTTATGTGGTCGTAATAACGGCTTTTCCGTCAACTTTATGTTTGTGGTGTCATCACCTAATTTTACCTCAAGATAATGCAAATGCAAGCCATTCATGCTCAACAAGCGTCCGCTTCGTGGGACATTGATACGGTTAATATTAGCTTAGCCTCTTCCTTACATTTTTTGCCCCTCTCAAGGGCTGTCTAATAGAAGTGTTGCTTAACACCTTCAAATAATTATAATAATAATTTAAAAAATTACGGCTTGGCTTGGAAATATTTGAAGGGTGATTGTCAACTAGGCAAGTCTTTCTTTTTACCGTTTGATAATCCAACTGTGACTATTGGTTTTCTTGATGTACAGAAAAAAATAATTAGGTTTTCATGGTTTACAGTTTCTTCTTGATTTTTCAACTTGCCGAGGGTGGCGAGGAAATTGCTTTTAAAAAGTCCTTATATTATGAATATAAATAATAAAATTTTATATTGCATATATATTATAAATATAATGGTATTTGTTATTTGTTTTTATTAAATTATTATGTCGCTAGATTTTAGAAAATAAAGATAATTGAATTTTCATTTAATAATTTATTTAAGCATAATTTTATAGAATTCAGTTGAATTTTTTATTTTAAATTATAACATACCAAATATGAAATTTCATTTATAAATGGATACCAAACATAAAATTTCATTTATAAATGAATTCTACGTTCATGATTTATTTTGGTTAAACACAGTGTAAGTGGCAGGGAAAGAATTGAATTCCAACTATATTCCTCCATTTATATATTTTCAACTATATATCTTAGATTTAAATATTCTATTTGTCTTATAATTCTACAATTTCCCTTTTTCATTAATTTTAAATTATTGTTTTATTTCTTTTTAAAAAGTAAATAGTATTTGAATTTTACTATATTACTCTAATTTAATATGCTCCTTTATCAATAAATAAATTAATCAACTACTACATTATTATTAATCAAAGCTTAATATAAATAAAATTAAAATATCAACTTTTAATCATACACTTATTTAGTCAGTAGAACCGGTTTCATCCTTTATTCAAATTTTCTTTTTTAAGTAATAACTTAAATCCTTAGATAAAATACTCTTTGAAAGCTTTGATTATTGGATAAATAATTATAATTTGGTTATTTGCAACGATAATTTAATATGGATCATCTAATTTAAATGGTATACTAATACAAGGGATACTAGGAAAAATAGAGCAAAAATGACAGTTTAAATTATATTAATTAAATTTTATTAATTTATGTGCAAGTTAAACCAAAATCAAAATTATGGGACAGAGACAGTCTTTATTTTGTCGTTGAAAATAAGTTTAAAATTGGAAAAAACAAAGTGTCAATTCAATTGGTGAACACATATTCTTTACAAGAAACTCATGTTTAAAGTGACTTATCCACAAAATGCCTTGGCCTAGCGTTAAGTTGTTTCTAGTTTCTAGTAAATACCCTCTCAGCAATGGGCTCGGCAGACTGAAGATCAATTCATGTCCCACGTGCTCTCGACCTTCGACTCGACCCGAACCGACCCGTTTGAGATTTAGCCCATATATAAAGTCCAAGTCTAAAAAGTCCATTGGCTGCTGCAATCTCCTTCAATCTCTTTATCTTCAAGGCCGAACACTGACACCGAGAAAGGGTGACGGAGAAAGAGGTGAGAAATAACGGTCAAGAATGGCTGCTACATTTTCAGGAGTAGGGATTGGATTAGGGTTATCATGTTCTTCTTCTAATGGGAAGCTCTCGCAAAGAAGATCTCCTTCATGGAGTCCATCTCGTTCCAGTGTGAAAATGACAGTCTCTGTAGAAGAGAAGAAGAAGTTCACTCTCAAAAAATCCGAGGAAGCTTTCAGTATCGCTAAGGTAAACTCTTCGCGCTTTTAACCTTTCCCTTGGTAAATTTGACGTCTAAATCTGTTAATTTTTCAATTTTTAAGGCATAAGATTGAATTGAAATTGAAAATTTGTTGTCTCTGTCCGGTTGACCTCAATTTGGATGCAATTTCTCACTGTTTATTATGTTTTCTTTCCATTGTTGTTTTATGATTATGTGATTTTTGATTGGGCGTAAGTCTTTTGGCAGGAGCTGATGCCAGGAGGAGTGAATTCACCTGTACGGGCTTTTAAATCTGTCGGCGGACAACCAATAGTGATGGATTCTGTGAAGGGCTCTCGGATGTGGGATATTGATGGCAATGAGTACATTGACTATGTTGGTTCTTGGGGGCCAGCTATAATTGGTCATGCAGATGATCAGGTTCTACTCTATTCTCCTTTCTCTCTCTCTCTTTTTTTTTGGGGGTTGGAAATGACCAAAACTTGAGTTAAAGAATGATCTTCGTTGTTGGTTTTGCTCAAATTAATAAAGGACTTGAATATCTTTGCCAATTCGATTTGTCATGGATGTGTCTCATATATTGGCAGTTTATTTTGAACGCCCTTTTAATTTGTTTCTTTTTGACTAACGATTACTTACAGGTGCTTGCAGCTTTGGCTGAAACAATGAAGAAAGGGACGAGCTTTGGTGCCCCCTGTCTTCTAGAGAATGTGCTAGCGGAGATGGTCATCAAAGCAGTTCCATCTATAGAAATGGTACGATTTGTCAATTCAGGCACGGAGGCTTGCATGGGTGTGCTTCGCCTGGCCCGTGCTTACACTAGACGAGAGAAGCTTATCAAGTTTGAGGGCTGTTACCATGGCCATGCTGATCCTTTCCTCGTCAAGGCAGGAAGTGGTGTTGCAACACTAGGGTTGCCAGACTCCCCTGGTGTCCCGAAGGCAGCAACCTATGAAACTTTAACAGCCCCTTTCAATGACTTGGCTGCAGTGGAAAAACTTTTTGAGACAAACAAGGGAGAGATTGCAGCAATAATCCTTGAACCTGTTGTAGGAAATTCAGGTTTTGTTCCACCTAAACCAGAATTCCTCAATGCTATCCGCAAGGTTACCAAAGAAAATGATGCCCTTCTAATCTTTGATGAAGTTATGACTGGATTCCGTTTGTCATATGGAGGCGCTCAGGAGTACTTTGGCATTACTCCTGATCTAACAACACTTGGGAAGATTATTGGTGGTGGCTTGCCAGTAGGTGCTTATGGTGGAAGGAGGGAGATTATGGAGATGGTTGCACCTGCAGGACCAATGTATCAAGCTGGGACCTTGAGTGGGAATCCATTGGCAATGACTGCAGGGATACAAACACTAAAGCGGTTACAGGAGCCAGGAAGTTATGAATACTTGGATAAGATCACAGGTGAACTTGTACAAGGCATCTTGGAAGCTGGCAAGGAGGCCGGGCATGCTATTTGTGGCGAAAATATAAGAGGGATGTTTGGCTTTTTCTTCACAGAAGGACCTGTTCACAACTTTGCTGATGCAAAGAAAAGCGACACAGCTAAATTTGCTAGGTTTTTTCAAGGAATGCTGGAGGAAGGTGTATATTTTGCTCCTTCGCAATTTGAGGCTGGGTTTACAAGCTTGGCGCATACTGCTGCAGATGTTCAACATACAATATCAGCAGCGGAGAAGGTTTTCCGGCAAATTTAGTGCATAGGCCTTTGTACCAATGGCAATACATGTATCCTTTATTTTCTTTTTTCATTTGATTGTGATCCCAGTTTTCCATTGTATGGTTGTCCTTTTTGCATATGATCACCCTTTGCGCACCTAACAGTTTCTTTTGATCAGTTCCATCTAGTGAAGAGTTTGTATTTATTTTCCCCTGATTATGAGAATCTTTCAATGTTGGTAGCTTACGTAGCATTCAAATTTAAAGCTTGTTAATGACATTGGCTTGTACTAATTCTCCGGAGACATTCATCCAGGCACCCCTGGGCCGTGCACAGAATCTTATATTGGCATGAACAATTTGCTTAAATTACAGCACATAATATGACTTGAATAAATCCAATCAAATTGTTTATTCTGTAATAACATCAATATAGGTATTAATCTTTGAAATTTGATTGTTGATCTTGTCCTTACATCAATGGTTCTATACATCTTTCTGTCACTACTACAAAGCATTGAATGTCTTAAACAAACAAACCAAAGAAGAGGGTTACGGTGTAAGGAAATATAAACACATCAACATTTTTTTTTCTTTTTTGATGGAAGTATTTATGGACAACACTGCAACATCTGAGACGGGATGTTTCAAAGAAAACAATCACTGTACCTAAAGCATTTTCCCATATATCTACTTATTTGCCTTCATAAAATGGAACAGGAGCACACCAGTTTCCTGGGAGAATTATCGATCTTTTTTTCTGTTCAAAAAAGTCACGAATAATATGTCAACACTAAAGTTAGCAACAAGCTTAAAGCAATTAGTGAATGCAACAACTCAACCAAACTCCAAAGTATAGTCCCAGATGCTTTAAGAATAAAAAAAGCACATATTTGTACAATGTTAAGCTGCAAACTTTGACAAAAATCAAAATCTTCTTAAAAACAATACAAAATATACGGAAATTGCAAGCAAGAACAAAGTTCTATAGTAATGTTAATGTTTAGGCTGATTAAACTTTTATGCCAAATTAATTAGTTGAGGAATTAAGCAAGCAAAGCAAGTAAATTCATTTCGAGTGCCAAGCATATGGACACATGAACACTTTGCTACTTCACTGTATATGTTAGCACATACTCCAGGAGCATGGAGAAAATACTTCAGTTGTTATAGGCTTTCATTAGAAACAAAATGTTGGGTCCCACCATTTTGGCTCTGGGCAAAAAAGTGACCAACTAATGGGATTATTTGACAAGGAACTCTACACAAGAACTTGACTATCATATGATAAAACAGGAAATAATGGGTGTCTCGGGGCACAAGGAGATTCTATCTTTCAGAGAAAAGAAGGAAAACTCCAAGGGAAGAAAATTCGACTGCAAGATAAGCAGTAACCACTAAAATTTCAGCAGCAGACTTGTTGGCCCCAAAAAGGAAATCACCACCCACTGATATAAGTTAACATGAAACAAGGAGGATCTTTTAAATGTATTCTTCCATTTGCATGATATCACATGCCTTCTCTGGAAGCACTTGGAAGGCATTAACCTGGCGGAATTTAGGTTTTTTGTACTGACTTGGTTTACAGTTACATTCTATAATCACCGCAGTTAAAATTTTTTTGCCTCATCTGTTCAGTACAAACGGGTTCTCTGGATTATTCTGGAAAGATACTGCTAGGCAAGAAGATATGTAAGAGAAAACAAATAGAACTAAGTAGGAAGCACCCCTCTGATACTGGCACTTGTAACTTATCCAGTCAACTTGACATTACATTTCTTTCACCAATAAAGTTTAAGTACCATTTCGAGAAATCCACATCTCACTTAATGGTATGAAATGAAATGTATAACAAAGATTGCAAAATTGTTGGATACCTAAATTTAAAAACTGATATTATGACATTCTTACACATCAAATGAATGAAATATGAAATTTCTAGCTAAAAGAACTGGCATAACAAGGAACTATACCGCCTTCCCAACTCTAAATTATCTGTTAGATCATCTCATTCAAACCATCAAGCCCAAATTTAATTACTGAGATAAGCTTCACAACAATTAAAAGGTCAGAAAGGAAGCTGTATAGAAAGATGAATAAGATAGAAGATACCTGTTTTCGATTTTGCTAGAGATGGCTGTACAACGACATGCATTATTATGACCCCCCCAGCAGCTTCACCAAAAGGTGTTCTACACTGGCCAAGAGTTTTGTTGTTATCCAAAATTTTACCTGAGTTGATCAATTTCACTTCATTCACTGCTTTTGGAGTGACAGTTTTACCTAAGAAATGACGTGTTTTAGAATTATTGCCAAAGCAACAAGAAAGAGAAATATGTTGGAAGATATATTCCCATCTCAAAAGTCAGTAATTTTTCTGAACCAGAAGAAACTAATAACCTTTGCTATCTACCAATTCATGCTTGCCTGGAACAAGATAAAAACAAAAAAAGCCAAGCAAAGTTCACAGGGATGACCATAGTTTGAATTTTGAACAAATCATAATAAAGGACTTTTTTATTCATGCCAAACTTAGTTTGAGAGGCCTGTAGAGCTCATACTTTCTCATTGAAAAGGCTTATAGAGCATCACAATTTCTCAGGTTGTTGACATGATTCAACATGCATGGCTTTCCTCTGACCAAGTTTCATTATGAATCCAAAACCAAATCCCATAATCAAATCATTCAAAGGTTTAACACTGCAAGGTGCTTATACTATATTATTCCATATAAAAAAGATTGTTGAGCACTCAATGCTGCTTTAAATTCCCTGATTGTGCTTGGAGACATGAGTTACAGGTTCTTCAAGCACAATAAAGTACATCTGCAACAAAGCATGTTCAATTGTTTCTCCGATATCAATAGAGCAAATCTGTCAAAAAAATCACTAGTCTTTTTCTTTTCCTTGATCCAAGAATCCCATCTTCAACCAAATAAATAGGTACACAGTGTGAACCGCCCTTCAAATGTTACAACCATTAACCCACAAACAATAATATAATTCATCAGAATTTGCAATCGGTTATCTAAAATAACAATGGATGGCAATGAAGAAGATAAATAACCATCTTATCCACGCCAAAGCCAGTCTGCTATAAGTAGTTCATATAGCTTATATTCTGCAATTCAATAAAATTGTACATTGTATTTCATATGGAGAAATTATTTCTGCACATATTTCCCGTTTCACATAACATCCACTTAAAGCATCAAATCCAAACAACAATATCATATGGGTTAACTACTTTCTGTAGAAAGCATTGTGGTCACTTTGAAGAAAAAAAAAGCATCTGCACCAAACATCTGGAAGCCTCCATTTTTGAAAAAAATTGCCCAAAAAAACAGCCTCTACTGAATATCGAAGTCCATGGACCAATCCCAAAACAAACACTCGTTTAATGTTACACTTACTTATTTGATATATTTAATAGATGACTACTTAGCACAATTCTAATCATTGCAAAAATTAGATTTGGATTGAATTTTCGTAGCAGAAATTAACAAAGAAAAAAAGAAAAAGAAAAGAAAAGAAAAGAAAAGCAAATTAAATAATTGAACCACATCCAAGAATATTCAGCCAAGTCCTAATATTTTTTTACACCCCAAATTTGGCCAGATTTAAAGAATTATTGATAGAAACCACTGCATTATCAATAATCTTTAGAATTGAAAAGTATAAACCAACTACCCAGACTTGGGAATTCACACAATTTAAAAGAAAAAAAAAATCTTAACTATTTCGTATAATCAATTCAATGAACAATAATAAACACTAAAGACCAAAGCGACAAAAACCAAGACACTCGATTCATGAAGAAATAGTGAAGGAGTGAGACAAGTAATAAACCTTTGGGCCAATCGGATACAATTCTCTGCTTAAGCATATCCACCGTCGACGCCGATGAGTACCTGAACGGTCCGATGTCGGACCCATCGTAAAGCCTGAACTTTAGATCAACTAAGTCCTCCTCCGGCATCTGATTTGACTTGACTTTCTTCTCCAATCTATTACTTCCACGTAATACACCTCTGATATCTGAATTGATTAGGATTTAGGGCTAAGCTGATCAAGTTTTGACCCTGAATTAATAAAATCCAACAAACAAGTTTAATAGATCTAAATTGTAAATTCAACAATTGATCAATGTTCGATTATATAATTATAAAGAAACAGGGAGTTGAAGCATACCTTTTTAGATTTTCCGGTAAGGCTCAGTGAAACAAACACCTTTCTTTATCTAGTTTTTCTTCTATGGCTGGTTTTTGAGAAGAATGTTAGTGCTTTGTTGGTGAACTGAAGAAGACAAACCGACACCAAACGACGCAGTTTTTAATTGCTGTATTTTGATGTTTTCAACTCCCCAAAGCCAAAGCGCCTTTCGCCTCTTGCGAACCAAAACCATAAACGACGTCGTATAAAGCAACTAATGTTGGTTGATTGAAGAAGACGACATGTCGCTTTAAGGCGTTTTTTTATCCTACTATCTGAGCTCCTCTGCCCGACTAACCGCCCGCCGCTTCTACAAAATGAAGAGAAAGAGGGAAGAAGAAAACAGAAACGACATGGAAATTGTGTGGCAAACGCCAGCGAACCCACCGGAAAAACAAGACTACATCATTCGCGATGGTAATATATTAATTCATATTCTAAAATGAAATTACATTTGATAGTATCTTCACTTGATAAGCAATTTAAGCTCATTTTTTTTTGGCGGGAATTCTTCAGGGAGGCGCCACGTGAGACCTTACCACTTCGAGTTCATCTCTCATGTCTGTTCTCACTCTCTTTGTGCATAACTTACATATGTACCTTTATACAAAACCCTAATCGTTGTTTTTGTTTTGTATTAGGTTAAGAATCGTTGGGCGGGAAAGACCATAGTTGATTTGTTTGCAGAAGAGTTCAAAGGCCGACCTTATGAGTACTATGTAAGTTTCCAGTGCTTAATTATTATTGATATTAATGTTCGTTAATTGATTGTATCAAAGGCGTCTCACTCTCACTTTATGTCTTCAGTTTGTTTGATTTGTGTCTTCCTTTTTTGAATTATTAAATTGATGTGGATTTTCTGCGTCCTGCTCAAATTTTTAGTAATTGAATAACTTTATCAATTAGCTTTTTGTTAGTGATAGTTTGAGCTTAATAATAGTGCATGGAGTACTGTAGGTTAGTGCCGTCAAATGTGGCCGGATACAAGTTGATGGAGAGATGGTTCCCGTTTCCTACATAGTTAAATCATCACAAAAGATAAGCCACTTCGTACACAGGTTCGCAATGTTTGATGCTAATTTCAAATAATATGCTTTACTGGATAAGATTAACATTGACCAGAACCAAAGGTCCTGAATGATAAGAAAATGTCATTTTATAGGATGCCTTTTCCTTACGTAAACCGATTGTATACCACCATTGATAAACACCAGAATAAGCGATATTCACTGGGCCAGGGGCGCTTTGTCACACATTCTTTTCAGGATAATCTTTTGGTTAAAATTATTTATGCTTCAAGTTGTATTTTGAAGTTCTATTGATGTCATAAAGGTTGTAGGCATGAACCGCCAGTGATGGCTTTGGATGTTTCTATCCTACAAAACGATCCAGATGTTGTAACCGTCTGCAAGCCTGCTACTGTTCCTGTAAGTCTGTCAATGCATTTTTTTTTCTTATGGTCTCATTATTAATTTGATGTTTGGAAGGTAAAAATGTTGTTACTTCTTCAATTACTCATCACTTTTATGTGGATTTGTTGGCTGTTAGGGGTGTGTATAGTGTTTCTAACCCAACCTTCACTATCTATTTTCGTTTGGGATTGATTGCACTTTGTTATCTGGAAAATGATGGGCGCCGAGATTGTTCCACTATAATGGATGATAATTGATTATGCAATTCTCGTTTAACTTCTGCCTTCTCTCTCTCTCTCTCTCTCTCTCTCTCTCTCTCTCTCTCTCTCTCTCTCTTCTCTCTCTCTCTTCCTTCTCTCTCTCTCTCTTCTCTCTCTCTCTCAAACACCTCTCTCTCTCTCTCTCTCTCTCTCTCTCTCTCTCTCTCTCTCTCTCTCTCAAACACATACAAGAACACAAGATAGTATGAAGTAGGCCTTATTATGTGTAACTAACTCCTGAACTTTTCAATTTTGAAGGGAGAACATAGTTAGTCCACGGTGTATTATTATGTAAAATTACTGCAAAACATTTACTGAGAAAAAGGATATACATGCAAATGTTTCATATTATTTTTGGGCTCTTGTGCTTTTTGCTTCATGGTTACAGGAAAATGTGTTGCTATGGTATTGTGATGCTACGTTCTATAGGACAGTTGAGTTGTCTAGTCGTTGTTTTTCCTCCAATAGTTTGTGATAGGAATATCTCCAAAATCTTTGTGTTTGTTACATTTGAGTAGTGGAGAGAGCGAAAATTCTTTCCATGCCTAAATATTTATTTAGATTAGTCTCTTTGTGTTTTACATAGCTTGAATATGTGTGTTTTTATTTACTACACAGGTGCATCCATGTGGTCAATATCGTAAGAACACTATTGTTGGCATTCTTCAGGCTGAACATTCTTTAGCACCTCTATTTCGTATCCAACATGATACTTTTGGAGCAATTAAAATAGCTATACACGAAAACTGTTCCATTGTGGTTATCAACTTTTTTTGAGTGGAAATTAGATATAGTTTCTTTTTCGAGTTAATCTATTTTCATATTATTTTTCCTTTTGGGAAAACTTCACTATTTTATTGTTCTTCCGCTTAACATGATCGTATCAGCGGTTCATCGACTAGATCGGCTTGTGTCAGGACTCCTTATCTTGGCTAGAAATTCTGTGAAGGCTGACCTTTTTAGGCAAGAGGTAAAGCTCCTAAGGAGCATGCTATGATAGCTTTAGTAGGTACATTTTAATGTAAAAATCAGCATGCATGACATCTTATTTCTGCATTCTATCATCAACCAAGTGATAGTCAGTCTTTTTTAAACGAATCATGTTTTATATAGAATCTTACTGTGTCAGTAAATATAGCACAGATGGATTTTTAATTTGATTTTTCTCTCTTTCTCTCTCTCCAAGAATGAAAATGTACTGCGGTGGAAAATATACAAAGATGTTGGAATGTTGCCAAGAATAGGATGTTTCCATTCTTGAATGTAATAACTAAAAGAATGAGCACAGTTTTCTGGACGACTGTATAGGGTATGGCTTTGCAGAGTTTGGAGGACATTTCAAACTGAAACAATTCATATCACATTACACGTGCTTGACAGTAGTTGTTTCTGTTGTTTTTCATGGGATTATACTATTGTTTGTGGGTAATAGAATCAATGCTGCCTTCATGCTTCAGTTTATAATGTGTTTGCTGCAGATTGAAGCTGGGATGGTGCAGAAACAGTATATAGCAAAGGTCATTGGGATTTTTCCAGAGGATGAGGTACACTATTGTTTAAGACTAGTAATTTACACACTTCACATTCGGACATCATGATCTTTTATCCTAGTAACCCTAGAATGGGTATCCATTATATAATATTCTAATCCTTGTGAACTAATTATGCCTAAAATACCAGGAATGACAAAAAGAAAAAAGAAGTTTCAATAAGTGTAGCTATTATTAGCTAAGCTACACACTGGAAACATCTTTTTGCAAAATGGCATTTTACTTGAAATGCTTGAAAACAAAATGCAAGCACGGGTAAAATTCAAATATTTAAAATTGTTAGTTAGAAAATATAACCTCTTGGCAGAGCTGGTAAGCAATAAAAGGACTTGTGATTGCTAGTGCTATCAATTTCTAAGTTAAAGTTTAGCTAAATTCTGTATCTGTAACTCCTTCTCACCTCCACAGGCTTACTCTTTTTTTTTTTTTTTTTTTTTTTTTTTTTTTTTTTTTTTTGTTTAGCTAACATTCTGGCTCACTGAAACTCCTTACTCACCTCCCACCAGGACATTACTTCTTTTTTTTGTTTTTTTTTTTTTCTTTTTTTTGTTTTTTTTCAAAACTTTACATTTGCTAAGAATTTTCATCTTTCAGCAACTCTTGTCGACACAGTTATATCAATAATTATAGATGCTCGTGAAGGAGAGGAGCATGGCACGAGGTTAGACTTTTATTTATTTTCTTATATTAGAAAACTGTTTTTTTTTTTTTTTTTTTTTTTTTTTTTTTTTTTTTTTTTTCAAAATCTATTGACATTTGCTAAGAATTTTCATTTCAGCAACTTGTCGACATTAACATAAATTATAATGCTCGTGAAGGAAGGAGCATGGCAGAGGTTAGACTTTCTATTTATTTCTTATATGAAACTGATACAAAGTTGCTTTTACACTGGACCATATGATTGAGTCGATTTTCCATATTCACTTGAAGGTTCATTGTATAAATTTAGGGAGTAATACATTCAATTCGTGCCTGCCAGTGCTAGTAAACAATGCTTGCATCAGGTAGTTAAACATTATCTAGGGATTGAGGGCAATTGAATGTTGGTAGTTTTTCATACCTAATAAATGCACTTGTTTTCTTCTTTTCTTGATTTAGTTGTCTGTATGAAGTGGCAATATCATTGCCTTCTTTGTCATACCGGAATTCTGTGGAGCTGTATTTCACAAACACTCATGCTCTTGATTCTGGAAATTGATAAATTATGAAGTATGGGAAAATGGTTTTGGCATTTGATGCCATTATGTTGGAATGCCTGATGGTTAATGCTAACAAGTTAGTTTAACTTGAGTTTGAGTTTGACGTTGTATGTGAATCTCTGTAGTATCTATAACCACTTCCACTACTTATTTTTTCTCTTCTCCTCTTATTAATCTAAGATATTGGAAGTATGAATGGCTCATCGACTTACTAAACTTTGTTGTCTATGCAGGTGGGTGACTCATGTCGTGATTCTCCCACAAAGGGGAAGGCTGCATGTACCAAGTTTACCAGGATTAGTACCAATGGAACTCATAGCATTGTTTTGTGCAAACCGATCACAGGCCGAACACATCAAGTAAGAGAATATACAGACTAAAGGAGCAATAGTAGACAATGTTTAGGATGACATTTATTATCAGTTGTGATTTGGACAAAGCGACCTTTTATTTTTAGTTCATTGGATGAGCTGCACTAGGTGTAGTTCTTTTCTTCACATAACTCTGCTCAAATCTTAAGCCGGATTAAAGAAACTGGGATCTCACAGTGGAAATTTGAACGTGGGCCTGTCCCCACAGAGATTTGGCCGAGGAGAAACCTTAACTGACTTTTGTTTCCCTGTTTTAATTTTCTTGGTCCAGCTAAACAAAACCTGAAATGAAACGAGCTAGGTTCTAAGATAAACTAAAGTATTGGAAGACAAGAAACTAAAATGTTTCTCAATAACTGAGCACAAATCATGGTGGTTCGGCAGGGGAAGGGAGTTCGGATCCAGTTACTAAAAGAATCCTATTTCTGTTGAAAGAACTCAGTGAAATTTTTACCTCATACGCTCTGTTATTGCTGAATATGCGTTCTTTTGGTTATGATAAGCATTATATGAAATCTGCTATTCTTCTCTCAATTTGTGATATATGTAACTATGTCAACCTTGTTTGAGCAGCAAGCTAAGACTTGCAACTCTGAGATTGTATTCTCCTTGGTAAATACCATATATTAATCGCTAAAACATCTTGAGACACCAGACTACATAGAAGAACACCCCATACATCTCTTGACATTGATTTCTGGACATCAAATTCTAAATGCTAAGCAGCTTTCCCTCCGTGCAACAAATTGATCAGCTGATATTGACACTTTTGGCACATTTGTACTTTCCCTCTGGCTCAAGGCTTTTTGTTGTTGTATCTGATGCTTGTTTATTACTTAATAAAGCAAATGATTTTAAAAATTTTCTAAATTTGTACCAAAATTATTTTCTTTTTTCAAAATCCTTTTTTTTTTTCTTATTTTATGCTTTGCTTACTTCTTGCTATTAATTGAACAGAGGTATTCATGAAGCCAACCCCAACTTCTTCTCGTTGTTGTACTTTCCTGACCAGAAAATTGTTTTTTTTTTTGTGACATATGAATTTCTTTCAATGGCTTGAACCAGTGCCATCAGAAGTATGCATGTGGTGCACAGAAAGTTTTAAGACCTTGTCTGCAGTTGATTTTGTTAACATTTCATGTGGTCTTCCTTCTTGTTTAATATCTTTTAAGTCTGCATTTCATGTTTCGTAATCATAAAAATTTTTCTTCTATTGTTTCGTTAATTTGTTTGACCATTTTTATTTTTTGGCTGAAGTTCTTTGAGTACCTACTTCTAATGGCATGAGACAAAGACCTATTTAGATCCACCTCATCTTTTGTGTAGATAACATGACAATCAGTCATAAAAGAAAAAATAAAAAAATCTCTTAGTGTGCAGTTTGCATTTGTTCTTATATGGGATTGGATATGATATATGTTCAATAATTCTATCTCTTCTCTTGTGCAGATACGCGTGCATTTGCAATATACAGGCCATCCCATAGCCAATGACTTTCTTTACCTCTCTGATCATGCTACCACTCGTTCTGTTGAAGGAATGAGTGCTGATAGAGCTGCTCGTATTTCAAGCTATTGTCTAGCATCCCAATATAATTATGATAAATGTGAAGAGAACTCCACAGAAGATTTCGACGTTGATCCTATGTGTACTAACTGTCCTAATTTGGCTCCAAAGGGGTAAGAAGCTCTTGTCTCGTGATATTTTTTTTTTTTTTTTAGGTTACACACCACGATTGTCCGAGATTATCTCCCGTCTTCTGTGAATACAGTCGTCGTATGCCCACTTTCGCGCACTGTGTCCAAATCTCAAGGTGTCAGGTCAGGATCTCTTGTCTCGTCACAATCTCGGATACATATCTTAATATATTTTTCTAAGCATCGCACCTATGCTGAGACTACTGTCGTTAAAGGGGTTTGCCTATGGGGCAGAATATGATTGACAACTTGTTGCTGAATCTTTAAATGAATTTGTATATGGTACCATGGGCACTTTGGCATATTTTTTTTTTTTTTTTAGTATCCAGTCTCTTAAGGGGTTTGCTATGGGGCAGAATATATGAACACTTGTTGCTGGAATCTTTATGAATGAATTTTATGGTACCATGGGCATTGCATATGGTTGATTCTATATGTCTTGATTCTGTGGCATACAATCACATCACACTGTCCAATGTAACTTGTTAATTCTCAAATCTCATGCAGTCATGTTATGAAACCAATACAATAGGAAGACTCTCTTTATTCTTTGTTTGGAGGAAGGTTTTTAGGGGTTTTGGAGGATAAGGTAAGGTAACATTAAGTAGCGGTTGTTTGGGAAAATGGTTTGAAGGAGTGGGAGGTTTTTTTGATGGTTATTTGAGGGGTTAAAAACCCTTCAAACCCCAATTTTTCAACCCACCAAATTGGGTAACTGGGGAGGGTTAAAAAGTTTTAATTTCCCATATTATCTATATTTACTTATTAATAAAAATCCCAAGTTGACCCCTTTTATATTATTTCTCAATAAAAATATTTATTTTAATATCCTTGTAATTTTAATTTAGGAAAAACTATTTAATATTTTATAAATTAATATTATTAAAGAAAAAAGGTTCTAACAAGTTTATATATCTAAAATAAAAATTTTCACGAGAAGAGTATTTTTATAATTTTTTTTATCTTAACTTTCGAATACCTTCAATCCAAACCATACAACATTACTAAACCTCATTTATCTTACCTTCCTCCCAAATATGAAAAAGATATCATTACCTTACTTTATTTGATAAATTCTCCCTCACCCCATCCAAACAAAGTCTTAGGACTTGAAAGTACTGCCGCATAAGTTACTCCAATTTATGCATGTGGATAAGATATCTAATGTTCCTTCCTAACAACTGTTTGGAAATTTTTTTGTGGATCTGAAATGCTGACATGTCATCATCAAATAGGACATATCCATCCTCTTAGCATAGACAGATATCAGGGATTTGGAAATGCATGTAAAGTCGAAGCTGAAATTCTGAGATGACTTGCTAACAAACTAGAAAACATCCAAGGTAGCAGATGGTGGTTTATTTTGTTTTACCAATTTTAGTGGGTCCTTTACTGGGTACTTCAAACATACAGCAACTTCCTATCGTGTAGTTGCCATATAATAGAACTGCTAGCCTGGATGCAACATTTTTAATCTGTAAATCACTCCAAAATATCAAGCTGTTGCCCTTTATTTATGTCCAGTACTATTTTTTTTTTTTTTCTAATCAAAAAGATTCATTTTGGATTTGAATTGACTAGCAGTTTCACTGCGGTTGTGCTTGCAACCAGGGAACTTTTCTTTGAATATGAGCCCTCTATATTTGGTTCAGTTGTTTCTTCTTTTATTGCCAAATTCCTTGTGAGGATTCAATGCCCTCAATAGGCCCTTGTGAACATTATTTATAGATTGTTGCTGCATATGCTATTTTCATAGTTATACAAACTCTGCTTTTGGTTGCAGATATGATGTGTATGAAGAGGGTTTATGGTTACATTGCGTGCGATATTCTGGACCTGGATGGGTTTACGATTGCCCCTACCCAGATTGGGCATCTCTGAGCTAATCATTTTCTCCTCTTCTCTCACTCTCTTTTTATTTTTGTGAACATTGGAGAATGTATTCATTTTCTTTTCTTGATAAATTGAAACTGAAATGAGCTATATGAGAGAGAGAGGCAACTCTTCTGACTTTTTGTAATCTGTTTAAACTAATTAGAAAAAGATAATATATTAGATTTCACTTCAGATTGTTATCTTATATTAAATTTCTTGTGGTCCTTATTACAATACACACTGAAAAAAACATTATATTATTGGAATTGATGTTTAGGAAATTTGACTTGCACTACTGAATATCAGTTCATTTAGAGAAAAAAAAAAAAAAAAAAAAAAAAAAACTTATTATTATTTGGAAATTGATGTTTAGGAAAATTTGACTTGCCACTGACGTCTGAATACTTTCAGTTCATTTAGGAGAAAAAAAAAAAAACACACACAAAAAAACACATCAAGGTTTCTGTGACATGATGCTCTATTTTTGGATCCCACATTGTTATGACTATCTCAAAACTAAAGTGTGAAAACAATATGGCGGGGTTACACTTTATCGAACATCTATTTCTGAAAAACAACTATAGCGTTTTCTAATTGCTAAAAAAAAAAAAAAAAAAAAAAAAAACACATCAAGCGTGTTCTGTGACAATGATGCTCTATTTTGGATCACATTGTTTATGATATCCAAAACTAAAATGGAAAACATATGGCGGGTACCTTATGAACATCTATTTCTGAAACAACTATAGTTTTCTAGTTGCTAAATTGTTAATGATTTAGCAATTTTGAGGAACTTAGATCTCATCTCATCTTATCCACAACACAACACAAGGCCGCCAAAAACATGTTTTCATTATTCATATACTGCGTAGTAGTGTCTATCTTGGTGCTGTGGAATCAATCAGAAACTGGGTTTTTTTATATATAATATATAGAAAGTACAATAATAATTTAATTTAATTATTATATTTGGAAAAAATAAATACAAAATGGTCGATGATAAGTGGCACTTTGATATATAGAAATTATACAATAAAAGTGAAGTGCCGTAAAAGTGGAATCCAACCCCCAAAGTCTGAAGATACAAAGGCAAGTCCTTACCGTTAGGCTCATGTTAGCTGATACTAAAATCATTACCTTGTTCCTTTGGAAAAAAAAAAAAAAATCAGACCTAATTTGGACTTTGTGCCAACCATCGAATAAGGGTTGAGTGATGAGTGAGTTTGCTTTGTAGTGACAGTGCTTTTGCAAAATAAAGCGACAATAACACATTATAGGTTTTGGGGGGATACAATCCCTTTGAAATGTGTAAATTCACTTAAATATTCAAAACAATTTGCATTGGATTAAATTGCTTTAGATGTTTATTAATTTTTTGTTTTACAAAATCTAATTTTTATAATTAAGATATGAGAAATCTAAATTCAAAAATTCAGAATTAATTAATATTTGTAATATTATATACTATTTTTCAAGCAATATATAACTGTAATTGTAATGAGGAAATTTGTACAACAAATCAGGATAAAAGAAATGATACCCTTTTAATAAATTTAATTTAGTTAATTAAAGTTCTCATTACTATACGGAAGAAAGTTTGGACATTCCCATTGCCAACACTTTTTCAGGGGAGCCTACATATTTTTATTTTCATCTTTGGCGGAAAGCTTCTTAAAATAGCTACAAAAATCTGTTTTCTCTTTTCTTCTGGGATAAAAATGACATTACATATATAAAGTAGAGATATAATAATAATAATAATAATAATAATAATAACAATAATAATAATAATAAAGGATAAACGTCCAACGAAAATGAGGGAATCAATAGTGGGGCTTAATACTTTGACGGTATTATATTGCAATCTTTCTTCTTTTTCTTGAGAAAAGATTGAGGGTAGGGATCACTTGTCGTTTGGCTGTTGTACGTATATGTTTTTTCTTACGAGATCCATGGCTATGGTGCTTTTTATTAAACTCCAACATTATCTGATTTAGCAAAATCAAAGTATAGTAAGTAAATGTATTCATAATCTGACAATGTATTCGGATCGAATCTCCTTTTTCTAATACTTATAATATATATATATATATGTATATATAAAACAATCAGGTTTAAAATCTTTACGATCAAAACATTATAAAATATACTTGCATTCAAAATAGGCGTTTATTTTTTTCTAAAATTAACGATTCAATTTGTAAAAAAAATACTTACCAAGATAAGCAATTACTTAAAATCAGATTCCGTTGGTACTTAAAAAAATAAGAGTTAAAGAATAAAAATAACCTAAAATTATATGTTGTAAACATTTAATTGCGATGAAGAACTAAATTTAATTTAAGAGACAGAAAAAAATGGAACTTGACACTTGAGTTTCAGTGCATGTAGACCACCAGTACTGGGATGATATTAGCCTAATCAAAAGTTCTTTTCATTTTTGTTTTTCTGTCCCCCCGCAGACCACGTTGATGAAATTACTGACATTGCTTTTGGAGATAAAATAGCGGCTTTCAATTATTCAATATTTTCACATTTGATTGGATGCTAAGAAATTATGGGTTGTCACTTATCACACAGTCATCAGAAATGCTTTTTTGAGTTCCCAGAAAAAAAAAAAAAAATTCAAAAAAATCGACTTAAAAGGAGTACAGAAACCTCTGAACATGAAAATAACTCGACAACATTGATTTTGAGGTACAAATAATTGGACAAATAGTGATAGTGAGATTATATATATCGTCCATCTCTCTTGCTCTTGCACATACAAAGTTAAAAGCTTTCAATTGCAGCCACCCTTTTCTTTCCGACAAGTTTTTTCGTATATACAAAAAACTAAAAAACAAAATTTCATGTTAATAATTTCTTCAATCATTTTTCTATATATCACATGTGTTTACCGTGTGGAGGTCATTCATCAATAGTAATCATCACATCGAAATGATAGTAATATTTGTCGACGTATATACTCCAAACCGTAATTTCAAGCTTACAGAGAGAGAATTACGTACCCGGAAAATTTAATAATTACTAGTATTAAATTAAAATAAGGGTATGAGTATTTTTTTTTAAAAAAAAAAAAATAAAAATAAATAGTTTTTATTGAATGATAATTAATTATCATCTAGATGCTTGAGGATAAATGTTTTTTTTTTTTTTTGGTCAAAATTTCATGTTAATAAATTTTTCAAATCAATTTTGTGACGATTAATCGCATATATATGTGATGAAACCGTCGATCAGCGTGGTACGTGGTTAAGGTACAGTCACTCCGATCTCGTATTCTCATATATCATTCTGACCGACCATAACGTCAGTTCACATTATTGTCGACGTAATATGTGACTCCCCACACCGTTAATTTTCAAGCTTTTACAAGATGATGAGAATTACGTACCCGAAAATTTAATAATTACTAGTATTAAAGATTAAAATTAAAGGGTATGAGTATTTTTTTTTAAAAAAAAAAAATAAAAATAAATTAGTTTTTTTTTTTTTTAATTTTTTGAAGTGATAATTAAATTATTCATCTTAGATTAATGCTTGAGGATAAAATGTTTTTTTTTTTTTTTGGAAGTATTTTATTTCTCATTAAAAAAACATAAAATTACATAATACGAACATTGGAAGGAAAATTAAATTTTTTTTTTTTTTTTGGAGTATTTTATTTTCTCATAAAAAAACATAAATTACATAATACGACATGTGGAAGAAATTAAAACAAGTAGCGGTATCCTTTTCGCTCCTTGATTACTAGCTAGAACTTAAAGATAATTAATACTGGACATTAATTAATTAATTAATTAATTAATAATTGTTTAGTTAAACGGTGTCGAAGACATTATTCTTTTCTTGATTCTTGATTTTCTGGTTTTGTTTCTTGGAATCTTGATCTTGAATATCTTCTTTCTTCTCTACTGTAACCACTGAGCTGTCTAACTTGCTCAAGATAGTTGCCACTTCAATAATATGTTGATCTGATAATTCATGGAGTTTTGGCTTCTCATCCAAACCATTCTTGGGATTTCTATAAATCATATATAGAACCATCTGGAGAACTCCAAATATGAACCCCAATATATTTGGAACCTGTTGATAATGCAAAGAGAAGGGGAAAAGAAAGTTAATGAGGATTGCAGAGTTAATTATCTTTTTATAGAATATTAATGTAGTGAACTCACAGCAACAAAAAGGTCTTTCTTCAAAAACCCATAAAAGAACCACATGACTGCACTCAAAGTCAGGAAGAAGGATAAAGAGAAAGGCATGAACTCCACACTTTTGGTTTTTATGACTTTTCTCTGTAAAATTATTACAAACAAATGTACAATTAATAATTATGACTTTATTTCCTTTTTTATTTATAAAGTATTAATAATTAATTCCATTGTTGTCACTGAATTATGCATTATATTTAAATTATGATGAATTTACTTACCACAATGCCAAGAGGTGCAGCAAAAACGCAAAGAGAAAAAATCATACAGATCCATCCCAACACATGGACTCTTTTTTCACCTTTGGTTAGAAAGAGAGCTAAAAGACAAATGGTGCCAAACCCAAATACATTGAACAAGAGGATAAGTTTTGTGGTCAAAATCTGCAGCCAAAAAAAAAAAAAAAAAAAAAAAAAAAAAAAAAAAAAAAAAAAATAAAAAAAAATCTCAGTTAGGTTCTCTAATGAAAATGATTCGTTTTAACACTTTTCTTAATCAAAAAGAAAAATATTGGAAAATTATTCAAACTGTTTATATCTTAAAAAAAAAAAAAAAAAAAAAAAAATCTCAGTTAGGTTCTCTTAATGAAAATGATCGTTAACTTTCTTAATCAAAAGAAATATTGGAAAATTATTCAAATGTATATCTTACCCTATCCTTCTTGATGGCATAGAAAAGATAGAGAGTAATGTAGATAACTTCCATGAAAAATGTGAAGGAGTTGATGGTAATGAGAAGGGTAGCATCTTCCGCAAAAACTGCATAAAACAACCACAGCATAGCACTAAACAATGCAATTACATATGGAATGGACTGAAACCCTTCACTTGTTTTCTTCTTGCATATTTGATAAAAAGTTGGCCTGTCACAAATGTATTATTATTATTATTATTAATTAATTAAGATCTACAAGCAAGAAAGCAAGTCTATGTCTATATATATATATATATATATACATATATATGAACAATATGAAAATTTAGAAAGACTTACATAGGAGCAAGGCATACTAACAAGGAGATGATGTTACCTATTGGCACCGAAAAAAGAAAAAACAAGATCACCAACAGAATAAATTAGTTCTCCTCAGTGTATAACTAATGATTCTTTAGAGAAGAAAAGGGAAGTTAGTAATCCTAAATGTCAACCATTTTTATGTTATCTTAGAGAAGTACATATCATTTATCTATAATTAAGATATATCTCTATAGAGTAAACTAATTTCTCCTGTCCTTTGATTATCTCTAGGTTGTTATGATGAAAGTGAAAGAGATCAAAAATGGAGAAGTACAATAAGGGCAAGAAGAAGGAGGAGGAGAAGGAGAAGGGGAAGAAGAGTTTTTTTCATAAATTTACCTAAAAGACCAAAAAGGAAAACCCAAGGAAGGTGAAATGCCATATCTCTACTGCTCAAACAGAAAAGAAAACTCTATCTCTGAATGAAAAAAATCAAAGCAGTAGTTTTCCTAAAGAGAAACTCTAGCTTTGTTTTGCAGTGATGAGAAACTGAAGCTGGATGAACTGTTTATATAGAGAAGAGCACATATATAATAATGAATCAAATTTGCATGGTCGATGAGAGAAGTCATAACATCATTAATTCGTAATTATTACAAGAGCAGATGTAGTGGATGATGGTTTTCTAGGGCTAGTGCCCATCCATATAAGGCCACACATATGAATTTATAAAAACCCTCTACGAAAAGCAGTCCAATCGCCTACAATAAGCTGTTGCCATTTCCATAGTAGGGACACAAAATTCTCGTGTCTGATCTTTCCACACGTGCCAAAAGCAATACATATGTATAGGGTTAAAGTTTTAGAAATTAGAACCAATATATATTTCAGTTTAAAAGTATTTAATGAATATTTATATAGTAACCATTGGGTAAATATTCTGAGTGTTTATCTTCTAATGTATAAGTTAGGCTATAGAAGGGTTTGAAATATTTCATAGAAAAAACTTCAATTAAAAATAAAATAAGGTATTAGACTAACCCCAAGTGAATAAAAAACCTAAGATTATATGTTTACTATTTTGTTAAAAGACTACGTATTTATTATTTCATAAAATAATTATCCAAGTTGAATAATTATTTTATTCATTTCCTAATATATTCTAATTGATGATCTAAATTAAGTAGATGAAAGAGTAGAATAATAACTTATTGATACTTATCACTTGTCACTCTAATCACATTTGCGGAAATTGAGACTGCTTATCACTTTAATAAATACATTGTTAGTTAGTAAAATTTTAAACAGTACTATTAATTACTAATAGTTTAAGCAAAATGAGCAAGAAATGAATTGTGTATTTTCATGGAAATAATCAATTAGTGCAAATAAGCCTAAATTATTTTACTAAAACGTTCTTGAATAAATAACAGTAAAACTCCTTGGTTGAATGACTGTGAGTCTAATCAAAGTTACTAATCGTCTGCTTCCATGTGAGGGTGGCCTGCACTTTATGAAGCTGAAGCTGAGAGGGTATGGCTAGTACTTAGCAGGGGAAAATTCTTGCCTCGTATTTGCAAGCTAAGTGTACGTAGGGCCTTTTGCGTAAAAATGGCAAAAAAGAAAATAAAAGTTTTTAATTTTAACTCCACTAGATTGCAGACTATTCAAATAAAGTCATTCATTTCTTCTAAATATATATATTATGAAGCTGAAGCTGAGAGGGTATGGCTAGTACTTAAGGCAGGGTGAAAATCTCTTGCCTCGTATTTGCAGCTAAGTTGTACGTAGGGGCTCTTTTGCGTAAAAAATGGGCAAAAAAGAAAATAAAAGTTTTTAATTTTAACTCCACTAGATGGCAGGGACTATTCATAAATAAAGTCATCATTTTCTTTCTAAATATTATAATATAATTATATATATAATATAGTCCATTCATTTAAACAGTTCATATAACTTTTTCAAAAAAGTATTTCTTTTTCTGGGTCCATTTTGAAATATATATAGTCATTCATTAAAAGTATATAACTTTTCAAAAAGTATTTCTTTTCTGGGTCCATTTTGAAATTTGGATTGACAAACTAATAATTGTATTTTTGAGAATAGTATAAATTATCACGTTCTGCCACGTTTTGCCGCCCTTATTTGTTTGTTTTCTTTTTTTTCTTTTACCGGTATTCACGTATGATTTTATTGGTAAAATTCGTTGACAATAAAGTATACTATTATTTATCCAATTGCATATTAACATCACGTTTCACTCCTAACTTAGAAATATCATAGATATGTTTTTAGAAATGTGAAATTATAAATTAAATTTAATTAATCAAAAGAATAGTTTTTGGAATTCTTGTCCAATTTATTACTTTGGCTGAGACATTTTAAACTAACATTTTGTGTCTACATGTCAGTAAAATTTAATATCAATGATACCATAAACATACTGTTAATATTTGCAAAACCACCAATAATCATAAATAAACGCTGTTAAATTCAATACTAACCGTAATTAAAATTTCCTAATCATCAAATTTATCTCAAGGAAATCGTTTATTTATTAGGTAAATTAATATTATTTTATCAACGAGTTAATTCTATTAGTAAAAATGGAATAGGATTTGATTTTGTTAGTAAATAACATTTCTAATGCGTATAAATGCAAAGCTCACCTTTAAAATTATCTGATGAAGGGACTAACTGAAAATTAGGATAAAATTGTGTATAAGCTTGGGCGATGCCCTCCAAACTCTTGAAATTTTAATTTTAATCGTATTTTTATCTTCCAATATTTAAAGTCTAGATTCACATCTATGTGCCTAATAATAAATAAATAAATAAGAAAATTCATGAATGCTCCAAACTTTTAATATGTGAGAGTCATGACCACTCATTTGAAATTCAATGATAGAGCTAAAATTTAAACCTAGGATTTCAAGAACCACAAAATCAAAGTGATTATAATTAAATGATGCAGTTGTGGTTCAAGAATTAAATGTTAAATGATTATAATTAAATGTTAAATGCAGAGTGCTTAATTAAGCAACTTAAAGTGAGGAATATGCCACAATTTATAAATGAAAGATTCTTTTTATTAAGACTATCACTTTGACTCTATTGACGGCTATCAAATCGTGACCATCAAAGCATAATGTTATTGGTAAGAAAGCTACTTTAAAAGATTGGTCATTCCGAAACGAAAGGAAAAGATTCAGTTATTCAAGACATTCATAATTGTCAAAGCTACTATTACTCTATAACTATTTTTTTTTTTTGACTTTATGATCATCAAATTTTTGTTATTACAAATTTATACCACTCTCTCATATTATAAGTGATTTAAGAATAATTTTATTTAATACTTTATCCGTACTTTAATAGCAACAAAGAGACATTTTATTTTATTTCATTTAAGTGATCGTTTAGAATTTTGAGAGTATATTAATAATTTTTTTTCAATTTACTCATGTTTATTAAGTGTAATTTTATTTTATATTTACATGTATATTTTGTTTTTTTATCAATGTAGTTAAATTAAAATTTTAACTACATACATAATTAATCCTTTGTTTGGATGGGTATATTTTTTTGACGGAGTGAAAATAACTATAGAAAATTTCTATGGTTGTTTGAGACAGAAAAGGAAAGTATTGGACGAAATAATATTTCACTTATTTTTCATTTAGGTTCACGTGGTTTTGAATCTCTCCAAATAATGAAAAAAAAGTGAAAGTTTGATGATATAATTGTCAATTTTCAATAATAAAATTTATTATCCTTTGAAATTTATTCTTTTTCAATCAAAGAAAAATAAATTTATTTACTTTCATGTGTTATATATATTCAAACGTAAGTGATGAAAATAACTGTGGAATGAAAGTTGATAATTTCTCATTATTTTTCTATTATTTTCTTTCCTTTAATATTTTCCTTCATCTCCTTTCCAATCAAGGGGGTAAAAGAAAAGAAAAAAAAAAAGAAAAAGAAGAAAGAGAATGAAAAAGTTCTCTCCCTTAATAAAAAAAAAAAAAAAAAAAAAAAAAGGAAAAAGGAAGAAAGAGAATGGAGAAAAAGTATCTTTTCCCTTAATAAAAAAAAAAAAAAAAGGAAAAGAAAAAGAAAGGTGTTCTTGGGGGACCACACCCATCTTCTCCCTTAAAAAAAAAAAAAAAAAAGAAAAGAAAAGAAAGTGTTCTTGGACCACACCCGATCTCATGGTTAGAATGGCCCAAATGAAACCTGACCGAAATTAAGCCCAAACGTTTTCGTGTAATTTCCAATAGATGATAGTTCAGTCCAGCCCATTTTTTACATGTTTTTCGATTATTTTGTTTTATTTTTATACAAATACCATAACATCATGCCTGATGGCTTGTGTTTAAACATTATATTATATTTGTCATATATAACATATTCATTGCTTTGGAGAATTTTATTTGAATATCATTCTGAGTTCAGATACAGTGACACATAAGACCACTGTTATCCACTTAAATTAATTAAAAAATATCACAATTTTTATATTTATTAATTTATTTAATCATTTTATTTAATTCGAGAAAATCATTATATTTGAATCGAAACTATGCCAGAATTATAATTGATTATTATTCTTTTCTCAGACTACAAAAATGGTGGAGACATCGTTTTATTCTAATTAAACTCTAAAAATTTCTCCCATTGATAGATATATTGGTCTCTATTTTTACAAAAATAGATATATATATGAATTGATTCTTAAATAATTTACTGGGTTATGATTGATTTAATTGATAATATAATAGTTTGACTATTATATTTATTGATAAAGAACATATTGAATAATAGTAAAATAATAAATTTTAAATATTATTCGCTTTTTAAAAAGAGAAACATGACAATAATTTTAAGACGAATAAAGAAAAAGATAAAAATTATGAGATGGAGGGAATATTTAGGTTACACTTATCTTCTTATTGGAGAACACATTTCAAAAATTATGCTGTTGAATTAATTAACATGCCAATGAAATACTTATCTCATAATATTATATCTGAATTAGATAAATCTTTTACTTAATTATCTTGATTGCATTCTGAAAAGGAAAACAAATATTGATAATCAATCAAAGGGAAAGGACAATATACATTATTTACGTGTGCAAGCATCAAATTTTGTTCAAAATTGTACAATAACACAATCAATAGATTAGTTTCCACCTACAGTTTGTTGTGGCTGAGTTGCCGACGCATGCTTGACATGTGAGAAGAGCTCTCGAGTTCGATTAATCTAAACACGCTTGCACGGAGGGACGAAAAGCTTCCATTGTGACTAAACTCCAAGCCGAATTAAACGGGTCCTTGATAATAGAATCTAAATGTCAATGGTTTTTTTTTTTAAAAAAAAAGATTGGTTAATTTCCAGTAGTTGCCAATGAAAATATCTTAATTTGAGAAAACATCTTTCCATAAAACTGCATAAAAAGTCAGTTTGAACACTAATTTTAATCGTGTTATGTCTCTTTCGTTGTGACCTAATGAAATGATTATTTGTGCTTTTTGGATTCATCATCCAACTAATTAACTTTCCCTTTCCCTTGCCTTTTTACATTAAAATCTTTCTAATAAGTGTCATTTAAACGGTTAATTAATAATTTTCACGTGGGCTGCGTCGGGAGAATATAATTCATACGTCTTGAGTTTTGATTAATTAATGCAGTCAAAGCTGAAAGTC